CCGACTCCAGAGGTGCTAGCTTGCCTGGTACTCTGCTCCTATCTCGTGTTTTTGCTCATAGCGTAGCATGACGTTTCAGGCTCCATTACCGAAACAATCGACAACGTTACTAATGGACCCGTCTCTTGACTCCCACACACACAGATATTCAGGTGGGCACACTTCACTGAGAGCGCAGCATGAGGATATCATTAACTTGATGACAAATTTCACTTCACCTCAAGTTGTTGGGTTTTTTTCCCCTAAATATTTTTTCCTTGCTCCTTTTTAATTTATTACTAGACAGATTAAATCAGCAAGTTGGTGCTCGTGCTAGGGAACTGCTGCCACCCGCATCCCTAATGGCACAGCTGCAAAACATTTAGGCCATTCCTCATTGCTGGGAAATTCTTGTCATCAGCTGCTTTGAATAGACATGCAGGCAAAACAAACCAGCGTTTCTAACTAAGACATTGCCGAAGCCCTGGGTTTCTGCATACCTTCTAGTATAGCATTGCACTGAATATGGGTGGTTGATTCTCAAACTGCTGATAGTCCATCCCGATTGTCGCTGTGATGAGAACACTGCACATCTGTGTACGATCAGGAAGGTTAATGCTATTTTCCCACTCTACAGATGACAAAACTGAGGTCTAGAGGTGGGGAGGGGGGAAGTGTTTTGCCCCAAAGCCTTATCTGCAGCGTGGGTTTCAGCCAGTGTTGGCCCACCGGTGCGTAGCTACCCCCTTTCAAGCTGCTTGTGTAGGCAGGCAGGATCTGCCTGAGAGTGCCCCTTTTGTAGACAGGCAAGGCCACGATTTAGCGAGCTAGCTCCCTTGGTGCAAATTATCCCAGCTTTCTTTGCCTACAGTCGGGCTTTGCACCGATGCAGCCTTCCTGATATCTGGCCTCCGATGGCTTAAAGTTAATAAAACAAACTATCCGAGGGAGATGACAGCTCGGAGAGAAGCAAAAGAAGTTGGGGATGGCTTTGCAATGGAAAGGTTTGTTGCACTTTTGCACCTTATTTGCACATCTAGGACATCACTTGAAATGAGCTTTCTATCTCGGTGCATTTTTCCCAGGTAAAATATTTTAATGTAAATTAAATTGCTTTTTTTCCCCCTTTGTAGTGCCCACCTACACAAAGAGCATTCATGATTATTAATCGGAGGTTTGAATGGTGGAGAAGAATAAAAAACCCATGTTCTTCTGTCAGAGTGCTGGTGTTCCCAGCACTGCTTTTCCTAATGCTTGAATAATGTGGCCAAGTAGATGAGACAGATTGTTTTATTCCTTGCTATGAAGTTCATCCCAGTCAATAATATTGATTAGTGCAGGGTGACTTGATGTAAGAAGAACAACACCCTTTTCTTAATTTGAGCCTGTATTTCCTAGTTCATGCCTCAGTAGTTCATGCTTGAATGAGTTCTTCAATAAGTCAGTTAGTGACAGACCCCATTGGAAATTGCAGCATCTGACATTAATAGGAGAAGTGAATAATTTTCTTTTCTAAGAAGTGGTGCTGCATTTCTCTTCTCCGCATTTAAATTCTACAAGTTAAAAAGTTAAGATGAACTTTTAAGTTTTTGAATCCCAGTTTCTGTGAATCATCCTCTTCCGTAATGGCAGCCAGGAAATATTTATACACTGCACCCTTAGCTATTTCTGTGTACTCGGTACACATTTTGTTAGCCAGAAAATTTCAGACATCTTAATGTGCCCTGACTCTTCTGTTTTTACACACATGGGGGAAATAAATTACCATGTCAAAATAGCTTAGGTAGATCTAAATACTTATAGTTTATTTTGCGGGGGGGGTCGGTCTTTTTATAGTCAAGGCACCTTTGATAGATTCAAGGCACCCTTTGGAAAATTTCGATTCTTAGTCAAAAATCAAGTGCAAACTACAGAAACATAATAGAGCAGTTCTGCTGTTGCAAAGATCTCAGAGTGCAACAGGTCAGAAGGTTTTTAATGCTTTGGGTTCCCATTTGAAACCTCTGGGTTTCTCTTGTGAATCATGTTTGCACACCAAACAGAGCTACCATTGTATGGGACCCCACATCACCCTTCAAAAGGATCTCCAGGCACCACAAGGTGTTCTGGGAGCCTGGTTGAGAATCACTGGTTGATAAGGTTACATCCCTGCCTCTACACCTCGAAGTATCTTATCAGCGATGCCTACAGTATGGCATAAAGATATTCTCTAACAGAGTCTGGCCATGTGCGGTTTGGTATTGCGGGATCACGCCTGGGAAAGCCTGCAAGCTACTTTTGATTCCCTGTGTGATCTTGGGCAGGTCATTTCTCTTTGCCACTCCCAGGGGAATCGTGACAGCTCTTTGAATCTATATCGCTGCTACAAGTTGTTATCCAGAGCAATACGGACAATTGTCATCAATACCTGACTGGTTCTTGGTGCTGCGATTGCTTTCAGGAGGCCACGCTGGATACCAGCCAGCAGTTTGGGCCATGGAAACATCTCTTTGAAAGGAGGATTCATTTTTTTGTGTGTGTTTTAATTCAATGGTTTAGACTTCTTTCCCTCCCCCCACTCCAAGAGTCATTCTTCCCACATCTTAGCATCTCATGGTAGTTGCATACCAGGGTCTTCTAACTTAGTTCTCTGGTGTCAACTTGTTTGATTTCAGTGCTTTTAGCAATGTAGACAGAAAAGTGACTGTTTAAAAAATGGTATTAGGTTTTGTACCTGTCATTTATAATTAATGGAGAATTCACAGATATCATAGGAAGTGAGGTTTGGAAGGGGCCTCAGGAAGGCACATCTAGTCCAACCCCCTGCTCAAAGCAGGACCAGCCCCAACTACATCATCCCAGCCAGGGCTTTGTCTAGCCGGGTCTTAAAAACCATCAAGGATGGAGATGCCACCACTTCTTTAGGTAACCTGTTCCAGTGTTTCACCACCCTCCTGGTGAGAGAGTTTTCCTAATATCCAACCTCAACTTCCCTTGCTGCATTTTGAGCCCATTGCTCCTTGTTCGGTCATCTGCCCGCACTGAGAACAGTCTAATTCATGCTCCCTGGTCCTCCAAAAACTACAAAGCATCTTTAACAAAGTAAAAATGAGCCCTCTTAACACTCGGATCCCTTAAGAAAAGATTAATCCCAGGATCTGGAAAGCCTACTTAAAATTGGCCACGAGGGGAGTAGGGTTGCATTTAAGATGGCCAAAACTAATCAAAAAGTATACAGTGCTGAGTGGCAAGGGAGCTGGACCGAGCAGGTAGGTGTATTTGCCCATTAGCAGGGAGTCCGCATGCAGGATTTTGTTACCTGCGGCCAAAGATTGCTCTTCCCTAGCTGTTTAATTAGGGCTAACAGGAGTTGAGGTCTCGTTATCATCTAGGGATGCAATACCCAGAACCAGTGGAACAGAGGAGTGGGGAAATGCCAGTTTATTTTGCCTGTATCTGTGATCAAAGGCAGTTGATGGTGGCACAAACATATATACGGATGTAAGGACACAAGATGGATATTTCTTTCCTATTTGTAAGACTCGTAGTCTAGTTTTGAGTACCGTGAATTGCACTTAGTATGTGTGTGTGCTGTGCTTTCAGTAACTCCTACTAGACATAGCTTTCTAATGAGCTCCTGCAAGTGAATGTGCCAAATCTGATGTGCTTATTTTTGCTGGAGCTGAGAAATGCTGTTTTGCTCGTAATTGCAGCTTAGACAGCTTAGATTTCTGCAGGGAAGTTACAGGAGTCAATGTGGGGAGATTGTTTGACTGTCTTTCAGAGATCTAAAAATCAATGGCGCTAAACAAAACATAATAAAAAAAAAAGACAAAGTTAAATCATCATGCAATGCACACTATAAAAACGAAAGCTGTCCAAGGAGCCCAATAATGGCATCATATTTACTTTTGAAAGCTATGGAGGGCCTTACATGCGATAACATTTTGTGCTTTTATGGGGCCTTTCATCCTGGACACTTAAATCACTTTCCAAGCATTATGTGGCCAGGCTTCCAAACATCTCTTCAAGGCAGGTAATCTCCCTTTTGGCAGGAATAAGTGTCTTTAGCTCAAGCAATAGAAGTGCTCAGGCCGTTGAGAGAGGATGGTATTGTCGCAGGACATGACCTGGGAGCCCAGGGTTCAGTTCTCTGTTCTCGCGTATGGAGGACTGGTGCAATCTGGGTGGGGAAGTCACTTTAGTTCTGCGTCTTAGTCCCTCATCTGTAGTTGACAGTGGGATTTTAAGGGGTGCTGAATCCTAATAACACCATAGCATCTCTCACAACTTGAATAATTGGGTCCAGGTTGATATCCGAATGCTGAAGCACGTAATGATTGTCTCGTGACCTTGGGCAAATCATTGAGTTCAGCTGCGACAATTAGATTAGAAATTGGGGCTCAGATATCCTCAGTCCTCTAGATCAGTGGTGCTCGTTGTTTTGGTCCATGGGCCAAATGAACAGTGTGGGGCTGGTTTGTGCACTGGATGAGACCCTGTGCGCTGGAATTGGGCCTGGCATTGCCTTTGTGCTCTTGTATCGGGCCCCATCCGCCCAGCCCTGCATGCCACGATTGGGATGCCACGCTGCCTCTGCCCAACTCCACGCTCCAGGACGAGGGGCTGCAATGCACTGCACGCCCGCTGTAGCAAGCAGGGCTGTGGCCCGTGGAGAGCCCACGCGGCACTGGGGCTGGATCCGAGCACCCCTCCTCGAGATCCATCTCTTGGCCAGTACCCTTTTGAATAACAAGGACAGAAGTTGTTTGCTGCAGGTGGTGTGTTGTATGGTACATTCAAAATCTTGCCTATTCAAATAAAATAAGGGAAGTAGAGTGTGGTATTCAGAGCACTGATCCATCACATATACATGCTGTATGTCAAGACCGGGGGGTGGGTAATGCCTAAATATTTGCTTTGGGCATTTGTGAGGTTATATACAATATTTGCTTTGGGCGATTTAGCGAATTTTTATACAAGGGATGTGTGGAACCAGCTTGAAAACTTACTTGTTTTCCTTTTAAATGATCACTTTCTAGGAGGACCTGACGATAATTTAATCGAAGGCGGCGGATCAAAGTTTGTCTGCAAACCAGGGGCCAGAAACATTACGGTCATCTTCCATCCATTACTCAGGTAAGATTGCTTTGTGCATCTGTAGATAAAAGTAAATAATTGGAGCAAATAGAAACCACGTATTTTAACCAAGGGGGCTTGCGCATTGTTTCCAATGGGAGTGGTGGTTTCAGAGATGAATTTCACAGCAATAATGATATATTCGTGTATTTATGTTGTCACTATAAAGGTTTTCTTCGTATGTGAAAGAAAAATAAAAGCAAGAGCCCAGGTACCATTGTTGTAGATATAGACAGACAAGGTTCCTTGGGTGAATTTGATATCTTTTATTAGACCAACCCAAATGGTTGGAGAATAGTTATTAAGCAAGCTTTCGGGTTCAAAAACCCTTCGTCAGGCTCAGGAAGCTGCAGCAGTTGGTGTGTGAAGAGCGCACACCAACTGCTGCAGCTTCCTGAGCCTGACGAAGGGTTTTTGAACCCGAAAGCTTGCTTAGTAACTATTCTCCAAGCATTTGGGTTGGTCTAATAAAAGATATCAAATTCACCCAAGGAACCTTGTCTGCCTATGTCCTTAGACCAACACGGCTACATCCTAAACCCCTGCAGCATTGTTGTAGATATGCACTTTACCTCTTAAAACTTGCCAGCACTCCTGCTGGGCTTCCTGGCTCATTCGACCCCTTTCACATCAAACAATGTAATTTATTATTGATCAGCGCTGGGAAAAGTTTAGGAATAGTTGTCGCAAATTGCTTATCATTCGCTGTCCATTGTGCTTAATAAAAGCCAAAGGAATATTTTATGCGCTGCCAGGTAAGTTAATTCCTCGATAAACAGGTCCAATTTATGGACTGCAAATTAAGTCTCGGTTCTGAAGTGCAGCACCAGGTTTCTAAAACACATTAGAAATTCTCAGCTGAAAACTCATCGAGGGCCCTTCGAACTTCAAAATATGTGAGCTGAGGTAGTTGGTAACGGGAGGGTTATTACAGCTCTGTTCAGATTTAATCTCGTTCTTTCCACTCTGCGACTCGCTGATTAATTTTCTTTTCATCCTCAGCGGTGAGGAACATCAGGTTTGTTTTTTCTGTCCGCCAGCTCCTCGCTCACATCTGGTTTCCTTGCAGAATTCCCACTTCTATAGTGTTGCCTGCTTTTCTCCCCGGTTGCTAGCAACACAGACCCAGAACAAGAGCATTTCCTTCTCCCACCCCCATTACTTGCTTTTAAAAATCACTTATGGCCACGTACATTTCTGCCACCAATTTGGGATCTGATCACGAGTTGAGAGGAATGCCCCGATTGCTTTTGAAGTCAGTGAGAGCTGTAGTCATTCATCATTTCTCTGGGTCAGAGATGCAGAGGAAAGCATGTTCCTTGCCCTGAAGCAAATACCCGGCTACAGATCATAGATACTTACTTTCAATTTGCATTTGTACTCCAGGCGCAGCGCAGCTGGGGGATTCGGGCAGGGGGCTGAGACGGGACGCCAGCGTTTTAGTGCTGCCTTTGCCACTGACTTGCTGAATGTTCTTCGGCAAGTCGCCAAACGTTTCTGTACCCAAGGATCCCCAGCTATTAACTGGAGATAATGCACCTTTTACATACGTAATGCATTCTCTTTTTTATACACCCTTGCAGTACGTGTGTCGGCTAGATTTACTAATTAAGATTTGTTAGGCGGCTTGAGGGAGGTGAATGGAAGAGGCTGTATGTATCCAAATCATTTATGTGAGAGTTTTACTGTGAGCCTGTAGCAATAAATGGATTAGGTTATTTTCGTTAAAACAATTTATTCTCCCCCCGGCTCAGTTAAATTGGAAGAAATATTGATTGCAAACTTCAATGCTGTTTTTGTTTTTTTGTTTTTTCTTCCCTTTCTTTTGACAAGGAGGTTTTGCTATGCATTTAGAGTCCCCCTTTAATGAATTAGTGATAATTAATAACTACCACAGAAAGAAGCCTTAGCTTGCTAAAGCATATTTCATAAAGGCATCAACCACTTTAGTGTAAGTAATGTACTGTTCAGAGCGAGCACTTCACTTGGGTATACAGTCTTAACTCTTCATCTTTAGAGACTCTGTTGGCTTGTCACTGGCAATCAGATATTATTTTATTGCTGACACTCTACGAGTTGTTGAGACGAAATGAAAATCTTATTTTCCCTTTTTCTCCCCTCTTCCTTTCACTCCCAGCTGACCCTCCTACCTCCACCCCACCCGGTCAAAAAGATGACACATTTTGAATAACAATTTTCGTGATACGCTCCGGTTTCATTACCAGCGTGATGGGTAGGCAGTGGAAATAATTTGTGTCACAAAAGCCGTTACAGCAAGATTTATGATTGAAAGATCTTGGAGTACAATATGCCCGTCACCCAGTGAAAAAGACGGCATGTGCAGCACCTTAGCTTACTTTTGTGGAGTAGGACATCAATAATGGCAGGAAAGGAGGAATGGCTTTGTGGCACGCATTAGCCTTTTCTTACCCCAGTGCGCTGCACAGGGAGGCACGTGCAAGGAGGGGAAGAGGTTTTAATAATAAGATGCGTTTAGTGTAATGCCATTACCCATATCCATCAGGAGAACAAATTGGTTTGCAGGAGACCCGGCTATTTGGGTCTAAATGGCCACTCTGAACCCCGATCTGTGTGTGAGAGCTGTCTCGTCAAAACTTAGGTCAAAGGTTCCTGGGGTGGAAAGGCATTGGTTTCCAAAGTACAGTTTTTTGGGATGATGGTAGGATTGACTTTTGCATAACCCCTCCTCCCAATAATAATGAAAAGAAAAAAGCTTTAAGGCATTTGGAAAAAAAAAAATACAAGTCACACGTGAGCTTTTCTTAACTACCAGCAAGCTGCTTTACCAGGTTAGTAATTTGACCACTGGCCCTAGAACGTCATCCTTGACGAAAAGAGCAGATTTGATGAGGTTTTGATAAAATATCATCATCCTTCGGCAGAACGCGCAGAGCAAAATCTTACAATTGGTACCTCTTTTCCTGACTTTGGTAGCTCATCCTATACTTTCTCGTATGCAATCCCTTCCTATCATAGAGGTATCTGCTTTAGAAATGCTTATTTTTTGTTTCTTTAATTTTCCCATTCATTATTAATCCCTGTGATCATCGCAAGTCACTCTTCGTGGATATCAAAGTTTGTATGTTTATCTGGATTTTTAAAAATTGATGTTTTATTTGAAAGTGGAGTTTTTTTCCCCCTTATTTTTATTAAGTTAGGAAAGTTTTAAAAATGGGAATGCTAGCTGTTCTTTATTCAAGCACTTATTGACTGTGGAAGCAGTGAGTCGAAACGGCGTCGACTGATCTGATGATGTAACACTCCAGGCTTATGTTTCGCTGTCTTGAGTACACTATCACTTAATATCCTGCTGAGTTGAATCTTGTGTGAAGAGTTGCAAACCATAACCTTCCCGCTCTCCTATCCCTGGGTTTGAATTAATCTCGCGTTTTGTGTTTCTGCTCTGAAGGGTGGCCCTTTATAAATGGTATTGTAGGACTCCACACTTGCTGCATTTCGGTGATTTCTCAGTAAAATACGCTCAGATTATATATTTTTTTATTGACCGCTCTTGAAGTTGGGCTCTGAAAAGTAAGTTGGGTTCCTCCCTCCTCATATGAGAGGATCACATCTTGATCCAAAGACCACTGAAGTTGACTTCACTGGGCTTTCATTGAACCTACGTCAGCTTTGTAGGACTACAAAGAATGAAAAGCCTCAAGCGCTTCTTTTAATCAGTCAAATCAACAGAAATCAATCTGAATACGTGCAGAGGAGAAGATGTGTTGGATAAGAAGGTGCCATTTGTATGTAGAGTAAAACCCCACTTGAAAAATAACAAATGCATTCTTTTTTTTTTAATTTTGCTTCCAAGGTCTTGCATCCTATTACCCCAGACACAATGCTACCTTCAAAATGTCAAAGAGGACAAGTATGCAAATCTTTCCCAAAGCCTGCCTGACTTAGCATTTACGTGGAGTAGCAAGCTAGAATTGGGAAGGGAGCTTCGGTGCCTCTGAGGGGCGTGGGTCCCGATTTCCACCAGGACAAAATGAGATGCGCACCAAGCCCCAGATTAATTACCAGCATTTAATGATACCACCTCCCACATAATAAATGAATAGTGGATTTTTTCGAAGACAAGTGGGTATTCAAAAGGGGTTGATTGCTGGGAATAGATTTTTTTTTCCATCAGGCTTTCAGTATATGAAAACTAATTGCATTTACAAATTGAAGAGGAATACACATCTGATTTTCCTTAATTACATACTGTGGGAGGTAGTGAAGTATAAAAGTTCGCTCCATGAAAGGGTCCGGTTGCTCTCTTCATCCAGCACTGGTAACTGGTGTCTGTTGGAGTTGTTAATGGGCTTGGGCATAAGTGGGGTTGGGCTGTGGACTACCGTCTCCCACCATTGCAAGGAAACGTGGTGGACCACATCCGAAGCCCTTTGCATTATGAAGTTTTAGCAGTCTGAGTGACGTCTGTTGTAACATTTGTTTTGTGATGGGAGGGTTTTTTTGGGTTGGTTTTTTTTATTTTTTTGTTTCAGCTGGCATTTGAAAGACACTTGGCTCTTCAGGGTAATAATCATTTTACATATGCTTTATCGAGTATGTTTATTACCAGACAATTGAAGAACAGATGTCTGCAGTCTTGAGGCTGTGGGGGAAGGACAGGAGGGAGCTGGAGATGTAGGGGATAACAGCATTTCCAATTGTGAGACACAGTTGATCCTTATGCAGTTGAGCGCCATTTGGATGCGGGGTCTCAAGGCTGCAAGGGTTTCCCTTTTTTATTCATAGCAGCCATACTCCATTAGGATCAGGCAGCAATTAACAGGGTTGCAGGGTGGAACAGGGAGCAAAATGCTCATCAGCCTCGAAGGGACCGTCGCTTCCTAGCAAGCCTGTATCCATCGGAGAAGAAAGGGTAGAGAAGCTCTAAGCTGTCTTGGCACCCCAGTTTACCTGCCTTTCTGATGGACAGTGTCTGTCAGACGGAAAACTAGCTGCCTGCCCGCAGGGAAAGATTTCAG